GAGTAAGTTCCTTAGCCAAAAGTCTAGGAATAAAGCCTTAGATCAAGAACTTTTAGATACCTTTAAGAAGGTAGAGATCAATTTGCCCCTCTTAGAAGCCATCAAACAAGTGCCTAAATATGCAAAATTCTTAAAAGAGCTGTGCACTAATAAGAAAAGACTTTCGGGGAATGAAAAAATCCAAATGAGTGAAAATGTTAGTGCGGTTTTTCAAAATAAAATGCCTCAAAAATGCAAAGATCCTGGGGTTTTTTCTATTCCTTGTCAAATAGGGAGTCTTAAATTTGATAGGGCAATGCTTGATTTAGGTTCTTCTATAAATGTAATGCCAAAAGATGTTTTTGAACAATTACACATAGGAGATCTTAAGAGAATAGGAGTGGTAATCCAATTGGCAGATAGAAGTTACACTTATCCTGAAGGGATTTTGGAAGATGTTTTAGTCCAAGTGAATGATTTTGTTTTCCCAGCTGATTTCTATATTTTAGATATGGGAACTGATAAAACGGACATTCCCATTCTCTTGGGAAGACCATTTTTGAAAACTGCAAGAGCAAAAATTGATGTCCACTGTGGGACTTTAACAATGGAAGTTGATGGAGAAATAATAAACTTTAATCTTTTTCAAGCAATGAAGTATCCAGATGAAGGTGACCAAGTTTCTTCAATAAATCTGATTGATGAGTTAGTCGAAGAGGTTTTTATTTTAAATAAGGAAGATGGACTTTTAACTGTTTTGACCGAGAGTCTTGATCCTATTTTTCTTCAAAATCATGGTTTTAATACTCCTGATGAGGTATATTTTTTTGCTGAAAATCTTTCCACTTTAGAAGAAGTAAAATCAGCCTTACAACTCACTTTACCAATTAAAACCACCAAAACAGCTCCTTCTTTAATTTCACCACCTGAATTGACTTTAAAAGAACTCCCAGATCATCTCAAATATGCTTTATTAGGCTCTAATAACACCCTGCCAGTGATAATTTCCAGTCTTTTAACTGAAGAACAAGAGTCAATGTTACTTAGGGTATTAAAAGAACATAGTGCAGCAATAGGATGGACTTTAGCTGACCTTAAGGGACTTGATCCTACTCTGTGCAGCCATAGAATCACCCTAGAACCTGATGCCAAGCCCAAAGTAGATGCCCAGAGAAGGTTGAACCCTCCTATGATGGAGGTAGTACAAAAAGAAATCCTTAAATGGATTGAGGCAGATGTCATTTACCCTATAGCTGATTCTGAG